CCATACCAACTGTAAAAACTTTACCGACGCCTTGTAGCCTTGATGGCAAAACTTCCGGTCAAGAGATGTATGACCGTCTTTGAAATCGGGATCAAAGGAGATTGCCCGATTGTTCCTCAAATGTTGTGACGTGTAAAGGCTGAAGCTGTTGGAATACTGCTCCACGTAAAGGCAAAGTTGACTGTTGGAAAGTTGAAGTCATCCCTTTCGTCCTACATCCTTGTGCAGAGCTTTTGTCACTCCACATCCGGAGGAAGTCCAGCATTTCGCGTATAGCTACTCAGAAAATGTCAGATGACAATTGCGACTTTGACCATGTTCCTTGATCAAACAATTATTGTAGTGATAATGTATGGTTATGTTATTTGAAGTCGTTACACTGGGAACAAATGCAAACACTTCACCCGTGAAGATCCGGGTTAGTATTGATCTTCAGTACCCCATCCTTGTCATAACAGGCGTCTAACGGGATCGGGTGGTCAGGCTCGCTGACTTTTTGGCACATGAATTTGAAATAACCGTTTGTATTTTTATCAACTTTTTATATCGAGTATTCTCAAAGCACACGACCCGTAAAAATCCTGGTTAGAATTGGTTTTCGGTAACCGATGCTTGTCGTAAGAGACGACAAACGGGATCGGGTGCTCAGACTCGCTGACTTGGTTAGTCTCCACCCGATCCCTTTTGTCTAACCCGAACGCAGTGGAATGTACATCGTGAGCTGTCACAGATTCTGTTTTGTTGGTTCCATACTTTTTTCCTTTGTGAGTGAGTGAGTTGAGTTTTACGCCGCACTAAGCAATATTCCAGCTATATGGCGGCGGTCTGTAAATAATCGAGTCTGGACCAGACAATCCAGTGATCAACAGCATGAGCATCGATCTGCGCAATTGGGAACCGATGACATGTGTCAACCAAGTCAGCGAGCCTGACAACCCGATCCCGTTAGTCGCCTTTTACGACAAGCAGTCGCCTTTTATGACAAGAATGGGTTGCTGAAGACCTATTCTACCCCGGATCTTCACGGGTCTTTTTCCTTTGTATCCCAGCAGGCTAGTGATGTGTATCGAATATCGAATATCTACCAGCACACACAGTGTTCTCTCGTCATACCATACCCGTGAACATCAGGGGTTAGAAGTGGTCTTCAGCAACCAACCCTTGTCTTTAGAGACGAGAAATGGGATCGGGTTGTGACTTGATTGACACATGTCATCGTATCCCAATTGCGTAGGCCGATGCTCATGCTGTTGATCACTGGATTGTCTGGTCCAGAATTGATTGTTTCAGACCACTGCCATATAGCTGGAATATTGCTGGAGTGCGGCGTTAAACAACAAACCAACATGCCATCTATATTTTGGCACCTGGATTGGATCGAATGGGTTTTGGTAGGCATGGATTGGCATGACAAACTGACATTCTACTTCCAGCAAGACGACAGATGGACATTTTGAATCAAGGTTGACAGAATTTTGCATCACTATGACGACAAATATATATTTTTGTATCTAAATGGCTACCCATTGACGCTTTTGCATCTGGTAAGATGACTTTGGGGATTTCTGCATATTGTAATAAGACATATGGACACATTGCATCCAGTATGCCATCAGATGGACATCTTGCTTGTAGCACTACCTCACGTAGGTCAGTTACCACATCTTGAAGACAGAGGGACATTTTGAATATGGTTCATAGGCATTTTGAATATAGTTTGAAGAACTTTTGCATCAAATATGACGCCAAATGAAATTTTGGTTTCTGCTAAGTCGATAAATGGGTATTTTGCATTTTGTGGGCCGCGTCTCCTGATTTGATGTATTCTGACGAGCAATGATTTAGAAAAGTATTGGAACAGATCACACAAAAGGACCGCGTTAGGATTCGCCAAGTGTGAAGATGTGTGGAGGTGTGGGATTCAGTGCATAGAGCTCAGGTCACAAATCAGTTGAAGTTAAGCAACGTTGGGCGCGGCAAGTTCTTGGATGGGTGACCATGTTTGGCAGTTTTACTCCTGAGAGTGTCTAGAACTTCTGTCCTGCCCAACAACGAAGGACTTGTGATACATGTGGTCTCACCTTAGGCAAGTGAGTTTGTTAAAAATTGCCTCTGTTCACCCAGCCGAAAATGGGTACCCGATGGGATGTCATGTAACCATTAACCTTGCGCCTCAAGGCAGCTTGGGTTATCCAGGGTAATAATAATCAGGCTAGCTATTCTCGAAACGTTCGTAGCCTTACGAACTTCTCAAGCGAATTCTTAACACATTGGCTACGATCAAAGTAAAGAATTCTTAAGGCTACGAACGTTTCGAGAATAAGGGCCGAGATTGTTTGTGTGCTTTGAGCATGAAGTACTGTTATAATCACTCACTCACTCTGAAAAATATTTAGGCAGCTTTAGAGTGTCCTTTTAACGTGAGCTTAGTTTTACCCGTGGTTAAAGAAAATTATTCGTATAGGTTCACTCATGTTAAAATCTGACACTAAGAAGTCTATGATCACGGAGACGAAGTTTCCTGCGTCGTTCTCAATGACTTCCTTCTGTTTTGGCTGCCACTGTCCTTGGTCACCGTGGTTTGTTTTGTCTGTTTCTTGTTCTATTGTCATGTAAGTAGACTTCCTGTTCATGCAGAACAATGACATGCTAGCGCCTTTAAATATAGTGTTCGTGACAAAGGCGGTTATATAGGAAATCCATCAGATGGCGTTTGTCTTCAGCGATTACAAAGGTCTCTGACGTGTGTGTTTGTTTTGTTCTACGTTAAGATCAGTTTGTAAAATTCCACGTGTGTCAAGCTGAAAATTTGTAAAGTAGCATATTTCTTTACAACTAAGAACATTATGTTTTTTAGTACACCACAACACAGCTGGTCTAAGTGTGGTATTTAAGCACCCCATAACACAACCGATCCGAGTATGGTACTTAAGCCACTTACAACACAGCTCATCTAAGTATTATATTTCAGTACCCCGTAACAGCTGGTTTTAAGTGTGGTATTTAAGTAGCCCCATAACACAACTGTTCCAAATGTGGTATTTGTGTTCCTTACAACACATCTGGTCTAAGTGTGTTATTTAAGTAGCCCGTAACACAACCGATCTGAGTATGGTACTTAAGCCACTTACAACACAGCTCATGATATTTCAGTACCCCCGTAACAGCTGGTTTTAAGTGTGGTATTTAAGTAGCCCCATAACACAATTGTTCCAAATGTGGTATTTGCGTTCTTTACAACACAACTGGTCTAAGTGTGGTATTTAAGTAGCCCGTAACACAACTGGCCGAAGTGTTTAAGCACGGGAGATCGACCGGATGAGTGGGTGGCTGAACAGCGTTGCAACTAAGAATGCATGTTACACTCAATGTGTATGTGATTCATAAGGGGCGGTGGGGTAGTCTAGTGGTTAAAGCGTTGGCTCGTCACGCCGAAGACCCGGGTTCTAATCCCCACATGGGTACAATGATTGAAGCCCATTTCTGGTGTCCCCCGCCGTGATATTACTGGAATATTGCTAAAAGCGGCGTAAAACCCAACTCAGTCAGTGTGATTCATAAAGTCAGTTTACGAATAGACTGACAATATATGTCCATTTATTTGACGATCGTTTGAGAGACCAACTAAATATTATTCAGAAGTTCAAAAGTCGGAGATTCCGGATAAGCTTTTTTTCAATTATCCTTGGTCTGTCGTAATCAGGTCCTTCGTGGTATATTTCACTGAAATTGTGAACTTCTTTGATCTGTGCATTTGGGGGCATTCCTTCCAACAGTTGCTCACGGTTTCATAACTTAAATATTGTTTAAGCCGAATTAGTCTATACTCACCAATTCAGCATTAATGTTGAACGTATTTTTGGGTTTTATTTCGCTTTTAACACATTTCATTAGTTTTGGTCTAATGTTGAAACTCTTTGGAAATTCTTTATAGTGAGCTGTCAATACCATATTTTTTTCATTATTCAAACTTCACATATGTTTGCCGTTCGGAAGTTGAACATAAACGAAGCCCCTTGAGAGTGTTTAGTAGAATTTTAATGTTCTTTACGTGTCACGTGACCAGATTACCTTTACGACATGACTGGAATTATCGCGTTATTCTATTATTATTGTATTGTTGCTGGACTAGCAACTTGCAAAGATCAACCAGAATGCGTAAGGAATTCCTCATTCGGTTGTTGACGCCCAAATGGCATATTGTATTCAGTGTAACACACATGGTCTCACTAACGGCCCGGGCGGTGGGGTAGTCTAGTGGTTAAAGCGTTGGCTCGTCACGCCGAAGACCCGGGTTCGAATCCCCACATTGGTACAATGAGTGAAGCCCATTTCTGGTGCCCCCCGCCGTGATATTGCTGGAATATTGCTAAAAGCGGCGTAAAACGAAACTCAGTCAGTCAATCAGTCACTAACGGCCCGTTCCACAAAGTGATCGTAGCGCTATAACAGTCGTAAGTCTATGTTAAAGTATATCTTCGTCTTGTATGTTTGTATGTAATGTCCTGTGATAGGCGTTTGCGCCTCCAACCAATAACGAGTTGACAGACAGTGGGCTGCGATATGGTGGATATATCCTTTGAGAGTTGGGGCAATGCAATATAGTTGATAAGAATTGTTAAATTATGCTGCGTGGCGGGTTCACTGACTTCAAACCAGTTCACGTTTTGCGAACTTTGGATCGTCTATCTAACTCAAGAAGGAAGTAAGCCACTTTTGTGTCACAGTGTTATTTTTTTGTGTGCTTTTTATATTGATTAAAAGTTAAGAATACACATGGAGAAACGCTATGATAACATCTCATTAACATAAGCAGCGCACGCCCTAACTCGGCATATCGATGACAGTACGTGCCATGAAAATTATTAATAGACTGTTTGTTTGAGTTACTCTGGACTGTTAAAATGTCAGATTGAACGTGCGGCATCTAGGAAACGCAATTGGGAAAGTTGGTACAAATACAAACTGTATTTCAAATTTGGTTCCTGATTCAACTCAACACCAGAGGATATTAGTCAGTTGCCTGTCGGTGGCGTGAAATCAGAGGTACCCTCTTATGTCGGATACACGTTTTCGTCCTGCTTGAATCATTGTCCGTTTAGAATCCACGTTGCCATGATGACCGTCCCATTGATGAAGGAGAGATTTAGACAGGGATTGTACGTATACTTTCTTTCGTGCTTTATTGAATTTCAATCTTTGGTTTGTTATTGACTGAATGTCCCTTTTTCTGTCAAGGTACAGTTGGTCCTCCTTGCCGAGAGACGAATGATTTGTATAGCGCCTATATGACTCTGTTGTGACCAGTAGTTTAGTTCAATGTTCACGAACCCATGAAGATCCGGGTTAGAATTGATCTTCAGTAACTCTTTCTTGTTGAACGTATAAGGGGCGACTGAGAGGATCGGGTGGTCAGGCTCGCTGACTAGGTTGACGCATGTCATAGATCGATGCTCATGCTGTTGATCACAAGATTAATCTGGTCCAGACTCGATTATTTACAGAATATTGTTGAGTGTGGCGTAAAACTAAATGTTCACGTAAGGGCGTATTGTATTTGTATAAATTTCAGGAAAGAAGTTTTTAGAATAACGTCAACATGCTGTCCGAGGACAAAACACTTGTATAACACTCGTGTTGTATTCCTTATAACGTCCTACCCGTGAAGGTCCGGGTTAGAATTGATCTTCAGCAACCCATGCTTGTCGTAAGAGGCGACTAACGGGATCGGGTGGTCAGGCTCGCTGACTTGGTTGACACATATGTCATCGTATCCCAATTGCGTCGATCGATCATCAGGCTGTCGATCACTGGATTGTTTGGTACAGACTCGGTTATTTACAGACCGCAGCCATATAGCTGGAATATTGCTGAGTGTGGCGTTAAACTCCAACCAATCAACCAACAGTATAACGTTCCTGAGGGATATAGTCTATATTGTACTGCATTGTACTTAGTATATCGTCCAATTCATCTACGTCCCAGTAGCATGTGGCATAGAGCATAACGCCAAGTATAGCTTCCAAGGAACAGGGCCGGTAGGGTAGCCTAGTGGTTAAAGCGGTGACTCGTCAGGCCGAAGACCCGGGCTCGATTCCCCACATGTGTGAAGCCCATTTCTGCTGTTCCCCGCCATGATATTGCTCGAATATTGCGCAATCAGATTCTGGTTACAGCAGTCTAAGTAAACGTAGCCTTAATATTATTCGTTACACTGCTATACTGAGTATACGAATAATACTGAGCCTATGTTAACTGCGGTAACAGCGTCCAGTGAGCAACTAGTCAGATGGATACTAGGCGCTATATAAATGAATTATTATTAAAAGCTGTGTAAAACCATACTCATACCATACAGGGGCCAAGGTCAGAGTTAATCCCCAAACTCGTTATAATCTTAGCTAAGAGTCTGATTTTGTACGTCTGTGTTAAACTATGGTAGTTGCTGTTGTCTTAGTGATAAGATGGCTTTGGAGATTGGGTGGTGATGGTTGATGGTTAAAGTGTCCAGTCGTCATGCTGCAGACCAGGTTCGATTCCCCACATGGGTACAATGTGTGAAGCCCATTTCTGGTGTTCCACGCCGTGATATTGCTGGAATATTGCTAAAAGCGGCGTAAAACCATAATCACTCACTCACTTTGTAGTTTGGCCAAAAGCTGAGATAACCTCTAAACTCGCTAGCTTAGCAGGACAGTTAGGAATGGGGCTTGAAATACTTTGCTTGTGCATATCCGTTACCAAACTGGCAGATGGTATCTCACTCCAAGGAGCATGATGTAGTTGAATCACGCCCAAGGATCATACTGTGTACAATTTGTGTATCTAGTTTGAGATCTAAAGGACATTTGTATTTGATATCGCTGCCTTGGGGCATATTCTGCTTAAGATCGAAATTGACATGCTGTTTTCCATACAGTATCAGGGTATGCTGTATTGGTTTGAGGTACCTGCTGGTGAAACAGAAGGTAACAAAACCCTATCGATATTCATCATTATATATACAATCGACAATACCATTTCCACTTCTGTAAGAAATCACGATTGTGTAATTTCGATTTGATCATGATCATGTGATTATGAATTGTGATAATACCAAATGTTCGCAAAAAAACGGAGCTTGTCCCTCCCTACCAGCGGCACCCATCATAATACATGCAAAGACTAGTCAATTATTCACCTGACAAAACACGTGAACGTATGGTACAATACAAGTCAAAATAGGGACATCTTTCTTGTTTCTGATGCATCAAGCTTCAAATGTTCTACATATCACTATACCATAAAACTTTAAAAGTTTTACTGAGGCCTTTAATGTTGCAGCCTTTGCCACGCAACTTCTGAGCAAGAGTGAGCGAGTTTAGTTTTACGCCGCTTTTAGCAATATTCAAGCAATATCACGGCGGGGGACACCAAAAATGGGCTTCACACATTGTACCCATGTAGGGAATCGAACCCGGGTCGTCGGTGTGACGAGCGGGCGGTTTAACCACTAGGCTACCCCTCTGGGCAAGAGAGTTATGACCCTCTTTGAAATCGTGTTGAAAGGAGTACGCTCGATTGTTCCTCAAAAGTTGTGACGTGTAAACACCGGGGCTGTTGGAATATTGCTGCACATTACAGGAAAGTTAATTAGTTATTGGAAAGTTTAAGTCATCCCTCTTGCCCTGCATCCTAGTGGAGCGTGTGTCACTCTACATCCGGAGGAACTCCGGCATTTCGCGCATAGTTACTCAGAAATTTTCAGAAACATAGTGATCTTGACAAAGGGAGATAAGCGTCAGTGTCTGGCTGAAGGAAAAACACCATATAACGTTTGTCTTCGCCGATTACAGACGGCGAACTGCGATCAGTATGTTTCCTATGTACACCCAGCCCAGCTGGTCTAAGTGTGGTACTTAAGTAACTTATAACACACCTGGTCTAAGTATGGTACTTAAGTACCCAGTAACACAACTGGTCTAAGTGTGGTATTTAAGTAGCCCCATAAGCGAAACAAATATACAAATATGTACGCTGACTTTATTTGTTCTCGGTCATTTTCAGTCACTGGGTGATGAAATTCAACATAAAAATATTTGGAATCTGTTATGATGATTAAATGGGAAAATAATCGTAAAACGACTCCAATGTCGGAGATCCCGGATAAGCCTTTTTCAGTTATCCTTGACCTGTAGTAATCAGGCCCTTCGTGAGAGATTTCACTGAAATTGAACACGTGTTCGACCTGATTACACAATGCCCATTTAGAAAGTGGTCAAATGTAACATATGTTACTTTCTTAGTAATTCTAGTACTCTTTGGACTGAGTCCCATCCGGGATTCGAACCCACACCCTCAGAGTCAGGAACCTAATCGCCAGCAAGCAAAGTCAGCCGCCTGACTTAATTTGTACTTTACTAAGAAAGTGTAATCCCAAATATAACATATGTCTTCGACCTGTGTATTGGGGGCGTCCGTCCACGTTAACAGCTGACGCGCCGTTGCATAACTGAAATATTGTTTAGGCAGGATTAAACCAAACTCACCCACTCGTGGTCATTGTTGAACGTATTTCGGATGTAGGAGATCTCCCAATACAAGTTAGTGAGTGAATATGGTTTTACCCCGCTTGTAGTATTATTCCAGTAGTTTTGGTCCTATTGAAATAACTTGGAAATTCTCTACATTATACTGTTAAAGCTTAGATTCTGAGGTATATTAATTCAAACTTACAATAATAATTATTCGTTTTACTTATGACACTACATAGATGTTTGAACATACACTTAGCTTCTTTCAGAGTTTGTAGTTGATGTTCTTTAAGTGTCACGTGACCCGGTTACTTGAACGATACGCACTGAAAAGACTGTATTACGAATGGAATTATCGAATTATTTTATTATTATTATTTTTAGCTGGACTATCAGATCTGTGTAAAGTCCGAGAATCGCGTATGGAAGTCGATATCGGATTATGAAAAAAAAATTCGACTCCCATGGAATCGATTGCAGTATTTGAGCGCATGAGTACAATCAATTGCGTTGACATATATTTTCCAAATCTTCTCATGTTCCTAACGAACACGCTCCAACAATGTGATGGTTTTCGCGAGGTAAGACCTGTTTGATCTCCATAAATCAGATCGTCTTGACCGGACCCCGCCATTGAAACAAATGCAAATATAAAGTTGGAATCTGGTCAATGGGAAGGGCCCAAGTGGGACATACAATGAAGGTCATCATGCCTATTGGTGGCTCTACGATTGCGCCACGAAATTCGAACCTAGTTCGGCAAGAGTGGAAACTGGACGTTAAAAGTCAGTTGACACCTCGGGGAGATGCGAGGCGGTGGGGTGGCCTAGTGGTTAAAACGTTCGTCACGCCGAATATCCCGGTTCGATTCCCCACATGGGTACAATGTGTGAAGCTCATTTCTGGTGTCCAATACACCGATGTTGCTGGAATATTGCTAAATGTGGCGTAAAATTAAAACTCACTCACTCACTCGGTGAGATGCGACACGTCGGTCGTAAGTCTGCATCAGTGTCTGAGATGAACGATCACCTTCACGCAATGGTCGCTTGGTTGACCGAAACCAGTGTGCGAAATGTACGCTGGTCCTGTGGTCCCTGGCTAGTAATAATCCATCGGGGCCCTTATTCTCGAAACGTTCGTAGCCCCAAGAATTCTTAATTTTCATCGTAGCCAATGTGTTAACAATGGGCTTAAGAAGTTCGTAGAGCTACGAACGTAGAATAGCTAGCCTGGACCACTAAATGATAAGTTTGCAGTGGTCCTGGTGGCCAGTGAATTTTGTATTGATAGTTACGTAAATCTACGAATGTTATTTTGGACCAGTGACGTACAGACAACACCACTAATTATTGTCCACTCACTGGTTCTGTGGTCTAAAGGGAAATTGTGAAAGGTTTCTTTCCTTACGAAACCCTTATATTCAATTTACCAAACACTCTCCCTCAGTGAGCTGATATACATTAGCTAGATAGCTGGGTCGAGCAGCAACCTGACATACCCTGATAAATGGGATATTGTACGAAGCGGCGCGGCGTTTGACCCGAATCAAAATCAGAGCAGGCACCGTCACCTCTACCAGAGTCAACACCTCACCTCATGTAAGGAGGAAATCATTTCTGAATGACTCAAAGGTAACCTCGAAT